CGTTGTTGTCTCTGATGAGGCCCACCAATGTGGTGTCGACTGCAAACTTCCCGATGTGATTGGTGGTGAACCTGGGGATGCAGTCATGTGTCATCAGGGTGAAAAGCAGGGGGCTAAAGATACAGCCCTGAGGGAAGCCTGTGCTTAGGGTGATGACATCAGAGTTGACCCGGACCGACTGAGATCTGTTGGTGAGGAAGTCTAGCAGTCAATTGCAGAGGGGTGTATTGAAGCCCAGCTGTTCCAGTTTTCCTATCAGATGCTGTGGGATGATGGTGTTGAAAGTTGGTTGAACTGAAGTCCAGGAACAGCATCCGCACGTGGGTGTTTTTCTCCTCCATGTTTGCCAGGTTCAGGTGGAGAGAAGTGGAGATGCTGTCTTCAGTGGAGCGGTTCCGTCGGTAGGTGAACTGGAACAGGGCGAATGTTGGGGGGAGACTGGAGACGATGTGCTGTTTAACCAGCCTTTTGTAGCACTTCATCATGATAGGACTCGTCATAGTGCAACAGGTTGGTAGTCATTGAATGAGGTGACCTGAGCCTTTTTTGTGACCGGAAAGATGGTGGTAGACTTGAAGAATGCTGGCACTATGGATTGGTCCAGCGAGGTGTTAAAAATGTCTGTGAGGAAACCAGCCAGCTGATCTGCACACTACTTGTACACCTGCCCAGGTATGTTATTGCGGCCTGGGGCCTTTCTTGGGTTGACTCCTCAGAGTTTTCCTCACTTCAGCTATGTCAAGGTTGAGTGCCTCCTCCCCCTGATGTGGAACGGCTTTCGCTGCTGGAGTGCCTTTTAGTGCCTCAAACATTCCAAAGAAGTTGTTTAGTTCATTTAGGTATGGGTAGAAAATCACACTATTATTTCACGGATACAAACAAGTATAAGTCAAAAGTGAGTGAATAGCAAAACAGAGTTACAATGAAAATTGTTATTTATATTTTTTTATCAACTTTACTTTTTATTTGAGTTAATTCATTTAAGTGGAAAATGGCAATTTTTAAGCTTACAGCGACATGGCTTACACTGAATTTAAGACACTAAAGGAGGAGACTTGAGATGTTTTGTTCTCTTGGAAAGATGATTATGGAATGTTGCGATCTTGTTTGTCCTCAGAGGGGGCACCACATAGGGTAGGATATTAGATTAAAACAATCCAACTTGTTGGATTCTCCAATTTGTGCACTCCTGACCAAATCCAGTCCCTTTTATACAGCACACATGGCAGGATTATCTCTCAGATAATCAGACCACTTGGAAGGGGAAGATCGGAGCAGAAATCAGAACGATTGTCAGACGGTGCTCCACAAGCTTAGAAAGACTGTCAAACTAATTTAAGGAAAGAAAATAATTATCACACAGAAAAGTAATTATTAACCTGGCTGCATAATCAGTCCTTCTTCAGCTGACCTGAAACACTCAGGGGGGAAACCAATTTTTGAACTCATTTGAAATAATCAGTCATGTGTTTCATTGATCTTCCAAATAATCCTGACCTTGAAATACTTCCCTGCAATATAATGAAACATTGCAAATGTGTGTCATCATCCTTTTTCCACACAACTGTCTCGACAACTTGCAGCTGTAATGATTTGCTTTTTCAGCCAGCACTGCTCCTTTTTGGTAATTCATACAGACGGAGCTGAGACTTCTATACACTGTGTCAGTACAGAGTTCAAAATTCACAAAATTAGCTTCTGTCACTCTGCTGATCCTAGAATCAGTAAAGTGATAAAGACATTAGTGAATCAAGCAGCTACACCATTGAGAGGATATAAGGGTTATAAGTGTATACGTGTTTTGTGGGCATCACTGTCATGTTTGTTCCTTTAGATATATTGTTTGTATTTGATATTTTTATAGAATGCAAGATTTTTTTAAGCAGGTAGTAAGATCTATTGAAGTACAATTATTTTGGCTTCAGAGCCTTATATGCATTCACATAGAGTCTTTGGGGAAAAAAAAAGTTGCCCGTGGTGTAACACACTAAGGCAGAGGATCGTTCAGCGGGGTTGGAGCGTTCAAGACAGCTATGCACGTGGTGGTCACAGTCTCAGCAGTAAATGACAGCAGCACACTTGTACTTGCAGCACCACAAACATGGCGCGTAGAGCAAACCCAGTCATGACAGTGGAAAACCTTTCTCCCACATATAGTGCTTTACATGCAGACAACCAATTAATATCTGAACTGAACACCTGAAAAAAATGTACTTTCATGTCTGTGACGTGTTGACACAAAGAAAAGGAAAAGTTCTTCTTGTCGAATTCGAATTTGTTTACTTTACATGTTTTACATGCTTTACATGCTTTTCCAATAGCTAGTAGGTCATGTGACTGATACAAAACCAACATCAAATCATTGTATAACACTGGCCAAATGGTGCAGATTTTTTAAAAACAATTTTATTGTATTTAATATTTTTTACAAACTTTTATAGTCATGAAAATCAGGCTTTATTTTTGTTGTCCATTCTAAGAAACTTGCAAACTCAGCAAAGGGCCCAAACAGGTGTTTATTAACACAGTGTTTATAGATAGAGTAGCAGGATTTCAAATAATTTCCAGTAAATTGTCAAGGTAATCCCTGGAACATGTAAGCAGCATAATAAGACATCCATTCATACATTTTCTTTTTTGCTCTACCAAAAAAAAAGATGATTTCGGAGTGAACTGACAAGTAATGAAATAGCAATAACTGGACTTGTTAACTCTGATTAAGGTAGCAAAACTGAGAGACGGTAGTGGTGACAATTTATTCTGCTCTTCAATAACGCTTTCAAATCACTTAGCTGTCTTCGTGATTGCATTGCTTTAAAACGCTCACTTGTACTCAATACTACAGTACACGTACAACATTCAAAAAATGTACACAGTTTGAAGTAGGAGTTCAGGTCAAAAAGAAAAAACTGTAACACTTAAGGTCATAACAGGAAAATGTTTTGACTTCAAAAGCTTTTTTCTCTCCATAAATGATTTGTATTTAATGCAATGATTTTTTTTACCAGAACAATTAAAAAAAAAGGAGTTATGGAAATTTTCGCCACTGAAAGAATTCAGTTCTGTCCACATGTCTCAAAAATACGATTTGCAACATAACTTTACATAACAGTTAGTGTTAATAAGTGTTAATAGTATACAAATGACACAGTAGATACATAGGTCCAAATGAAGTGAGGCAGGTATCCTGAAATGGCTTTGGCCTGGTAGAATCAGGGGGACAGTGCGAGCAATGCAGCAAGTCTTGTTACTCATCGTGGCAGTTGTGGAAATATAGCTTATTTGTGGGATTTTCAAAAGTCGCATGAGGTCAGCTTAAAAAGTTTATCAAACAGCTGCAGTGGACTGAGCTGCCAGTGTGAGTCTTTAGGCAAGACCATTCACATTAATGCCTGCTTTGGGAACTGGCGGCCTCGTGGTTAGGCCATTTTGCTTGGAACTCTGAGGTTCTTAGTCAAGCCCCACTCCCACAGACTGCCACCCCGGGTCCCTGAGCAAAGACCCTTAACTCCACACTACTCCCCTAGCGCCACACTCCCTAAGGGGATGGGTTAAATGCAGAGAGTTCATTTCATTGCTCTGTACTTGTGACAGTGTAATGACAATAAAACGCTGGGGGAAAAAAAGGTGTTCTCAGAGAATAGCTTTAAAATACTGCTGTTAGTCTATTAGTCTCAGAATATCTTAGCACCAAAATACATTGCTGACTTGTTCTCAGTGTATGAATGACTCACACTTCGCAGGTCTTCTGGCTCAAATCTACTTTGCATCCAGCTTTAAACTTCTATGTTACTATAAAACCGTTGATAAGTTGCTTTACATTTAGATTAAAACATATTTGTCTAAAATTACCTTTGACTGTTTTAACTTAACAATTATTACTTAAATTACTTAAAGTTATAATTATTTAAGTTTGTAGTCCAACTTTTAAATATTTTATCATAAATTACTTTTATATTTTATATTATTATATTTTTCCAAATATAATAAATGATTTTTTAAATTCATTTTATTCTTTCATTATATGTGATGTCTTTATGCAAAAAACATTTTTTTTCTTCTCAGATAATTGTCAAGCAACTGAAAAGTCATATGTAAATACATTTGCCTCACTATTCATAAACAGACTGCTAAGCAGAGGTGCAAATCTGGTGAAGACATGCTCTGACTTGTTGCTCTGATTTAAGTTTAATGGTTTTTCCACAAAGCATTAAGTTAGGACTGCTGAACAGAACTAAACTCCCAGATTTTTAGATTTTCTTGGTAAAAAAAAAAGAAAGAAAAAAAAGAATGAACCATTTAGATAGATTTTACATTGTTGCACTACTTTATTTTTTCTTATAATGTAAAATACAGTAAACATTACTGTTGACCATTCCAAAATGTATAACATTGCAAGAACACTTTTATAAAGCATTGTTACTTACAGTACTAATTGTAAAAATATTGTAAAGGCCTCATATAATGTTTTGTTTTACTTTTATTATAGGTGGCAAACCTCCTGCGACTTTTCCAAATTCCACAAATCAGCTATGCTTCCACAAGTGCCAAGCTGAGTGACAAGACTCGCTATGACTACTTTGCTCGCACTGTGCCCCCTGACTTCTACCAGGCCAAAGCCATGGCAGAGATCCTGCGTTATTTCAATTGGACCTACGTATCAACTGTGGCCTCAGAAGGGGACTATGGTGAGACTGGCATTGATGCCTTTCAGCAAGAAGCTCGTGCTCGACAAATTTGTATCGCCACATCAGCCAAGGTGAGCCGATCGATGAGCCGCTGGAGTTATGAGAACGTCATCCGCTCCCTTCAGCAGAAGTCTAACGCCAAAGTGGTCATCCTGTTCACTCGCAGCGAGGATGCTCGGGAACTGCTGGTAGCGGCTAATCGCATGAACGTCAGCTTCACCTGGGTGGCTAGTGATGGCTGGGGCGCACAGGAGAGTGTGGTGAGAGGAAGTGAAGCTGTGGCAGATGGAGCATTTACCATTGAACTGGCTTCCTATCAAATCCCCATCTTTAACCAATACTTCACTTCTCTGCATCCATATAACAACACCAGAAATCCTTGGTTTAGAGAATTTTGGGAAAACCAATTCCAGTGCAGTCTACATGATCTGCTTTGTGGAAAACACTCACTCCGTGAAATTCCATTTCAGCCAGAATCTAAGATCATGTTTGTAATTAATGCTGTCTATGCCATGGCTACTGCCTTGCACAACATGAGACAAGCCTTGTGCCCTAACTCCACCAAGGTGTGTGATGCTCTCAAACCTGGAAATGGACGAAAGTTTTACAGAGACTACATCCTGAAAGTCAAGTTTGATGGTGAGTTAAATTTTAGTAAACATTCTACTTAAAAAAAGGGATTGTAAATACTGTATTTGCATGTTAAAAATAATCAGACAGGAAATAATAACCATCTTCATATTAGTACTTTGATTCCCTTTGTGGTCAAACTGATCTGTTATGGTAGTTATGATCCTTAACTGGTAAGGTGGGGCCACCATGAATTGGCCATGTTTATATAGCACTTCCAACTACATGCTTGATTAGAAGGACATTCAGGTGATATGGAAGCAAGATGAACACCTCAAATCCTTCCAGAACTATTTTGCTTTGTGGCACAGTGTATTATCCTGATTAAAGAAGCCTGGGTCATCTGGTAATGCTGTTTCTATGACTGGGTGTTCATTGTCTACAATTATGTTTATGTAGCTGGTACTTGTCAAAGTACAATTAATACAAATGATAGGACCCAAGGTTCTGCCCAAAGCCTCACACTGTCTCCATCCCTTGACTTATCTTGTAAGTGACGCATATACCCCTGGTTATCCACATGATGTAACAGAAAACATGATTCATCAGAGACAGCCTCCTTCTTACATTGCCAGGGGGTCCGGTTCTGATGCTTGAATGTCCAATGTTGGTTCTTTCTTTGGTGGACAACCATCAGCGGGGAAACATTTGTGCATTGCAGTTTAATACACACAGAAGCTACAGAAGTATTTCTTCTGGATTGGAGGATGCATTACTGTTTCTCCACTGTTCCTTTTGTGGACCGGTTTTGGTAGATATTATCAGATGCAGACCAGGAACAACCAACAAATGCAATGGTTCTAGAGATGCTCTGACTTAGTGATGTGGGCATACACTCCAAATGTTACACTTGGGTATTTTCCCGTTTTAAAACGAGAAAAGGTGTTCTTTTGCCTCCTTATACTCATGTATTTCACTAAGTAACAGACCACTTAATTAAGGAATAATCAGTTAATCACTCAACCTGGCTGTGATCTTCATGTTATGTCCAATTAGTATATAGTAATTGGCAAAAGCATTTTGCATCTTTTAAATTATTCTTTATAGTAGTGTTGTGTAATTTTACTCCCTGTTTTCTGAAAGCTTTCCAGGCCATTTGCAGAGATGTTTTTGCTTATTTGGTCATTTAAAAGGGATCTTTGCACCATTAAGACATAAAGGTCCCCAAAACCAAAAAAGTAAGAAAACTAATACCGAGATAATGAAAAGAAAACTAAGCAAGGAATCTGGACATCTTGAAATTTTGTGACAGCAGTCTGTCATAAATTACGATTTGCTCCAAGGTTATACTGAAACCATGAGAAATTACAAATCAAATAATGTTTGATATATAATAGAAGTTCAATAAATGAAAAAACAAAGGGACTCTTAGAATATAACAATAAAGTCTGAAAAGGTAATAACTTTTGATCAATACTAAAAATACTTAGAGTTTGGGTATATCCAGTATGTACCGTACAAAGGTTAACAAAGCTTTAAGGAAGCCTAATTGTGATCAATTATTCTAACATGTCAGTTTCATGTTCACCGTATATATTTCAAATTCTACATAATTTAATTCATTCTCTTCAAGTCTAATTTACAGATGCTAAATTAGACTACAATAGTTTATTAATTGGACTAATATATATATATAAGTTATACTGTTTATACTGTTTCTATGTTAAAGTTATATGATTCCCCTCTTCTGCTACTGCAGATCATTTTTGTAATGATTAGGTAGGTAAATATAACATTTTCTCTCTCATTTCCTTCATACCTTTGAAGGTGTTTTTTTTGTACATGTGAATGGAAACCATAACGTTAACCCTTTTAGTCATTGAGAAAATAACACTTTTTCCCTGCTGTGAATAAAGCAAGAAATGTGTAACTGTTCGCATCAGCTCTTCCTCATATGACAATTGATAATATTACCTTTTCAAATGCTCTCACTTCTTAATGTAAGAGCTTTGAGTTATCCTTCAATTTATGGAAATACTGACATTTTCAGTGATGAAAAATAAAGGAGGAGGTAGTGTGCTCTTATCCAGCTGTGCTTTTCTGCTCTTCACAATTTCTAAAAAAAGAATGAAAATAACATACCCAAAGGATTCGATTATCTAGGGGCTTTGAAGTGGATTAAAGCCCTTAAATTAGTCAGCCCCAAGAGGTATCACAGCACTCTAAGGTAAAAACAGGTGGACCACTAACTTCTATATGTGTATTAGACAACACCATCTGTTTGATGTAAACATGTATTCATAAAATGACAATATAAATGAAAATAACCCCTTGAACATTATGCAATTATATTCATACAGAATTCCCCTCCCTTATAAATAAAAATATAAAATATGATCTAGTTGAAAGGTTTGTTTTAACTTTGAATTTAATTTGTATGAAAGTAGATAGTCAAAGAAACCATTACCATATGAGCTCATGTTTTCTATTATTTGTAATACGTAAAGATATTCCCATGTCTCTCAAAAAACTCCATGTTTTTCCCCTGTTAGTAATGAGTGGTTTATGTTTCCTCATGAATCAGCTCCAAAATGTAAAACTCTCATCTGTAGGCTAAGAGTATGGACTCATATGTTTGCAGATGGTCTCAGGAGATGAAGAGATTTACCTTATATCATGTCGAGCATCTGAGGAAGAATACAAAGAAAAACCTTAATCTTTCTTATATATAAAGATGTTCTTATAGAGCCCACATTGGTTATTGGAAACAGAGATTATTTTTACATCCTGAAAAAGTTTCTATTTTATTTTATTTTTTATATTTATGGAAATGTTGAAATAGAACAAGAAGTTAACTTCAAGAAGTTAACACACTGTTTGAGTTTATTGACGGACACTTTAAAGTGATAATTTGAACTTTAGAGAGAAACTGACCACTAGCCGCTTTTTGATGTGGCAACATGGCTCAACACCCAGGGTAGCATTCTTTCAAGGAGTGATGAAAGCCCTGAGGTGAAAAAAAAAAAAAAAAACTGTTCATGGGTCTTCTATTGGTTGTTTTACATGTCACATCATAGATTAACATTTGCATTTAGTGTAATCAATATTAAGTCTGCCCTGTGATGGACTGTCGACCTGTCCAGGGTGTACCCCGCCTCTCGCCCGTAGACAGCTGGAGATAGGCACCAGCACCCTCACGATTCCACTTGGGATAAAGTGTGTCAGATAATGGAAGGATGGAATATTAATCTATGCAAGAACCGTCTCCTCAAATATGCAATCAAAATAGTGCCAAATGTTGAAACATTGTAAGCTTTCCTGTAATTGTTAATTTATAAAACTTTAAAACTTTAAATCATAATTGAGTAAGTTGGTTATTCATACATTTTTACACTGAAGACCAAGTTTGAAGGTCTAGTCAAATTAGAGATTATTGAAAATGATCTTTATTTCTCCAATTATATTTGATTTGTATTTTCTTGATGAGATACTAAATATATATATATATAGCACAAAATTACCCCTTACATGCTTTATAATATAGATCTTATAATTTTAAGATTGTGCATTTTGTTGAAAAAAGTTAGCATTGACCTATTCTACAGTCAATACTAACAAACATGAAATACCTCTAATAGAGTCTGATAGGGTGAAATGAGAGATTATACATATAATTGTATTACTATTAAATTACTGCTATTAGTTCCATCTGCCCTTTATATTGGTGACTGTCTCAAAATTGTTTTATCATTAATTGACCCTTCCCTGCAACATAATTTTAAAGGAAAAGTCCTTAACTGGTACATGTTAAGAATTCTCATTAATTGTGTCCTAGTTTGTATTTGACATTGGTACTAAGTCTTTCTGCAATCACCTAACTATCTTTGTTCATGTTCCCTTACAGCACCTTTCCGCCCCCCTGACACAGAGAACGCAGTTCAATTTGATGCCTTTGGGGACAGTGTTGGCCGCTACAATATTTTCCACTACCACAAAGAGGATGGCCGCTATGTCTACCGCAAAGTTGGCTACTGGGCTCAGGGCTTGATTTTAAACACCAGCCTGATCCCATGGGCTGGCCAAGTTGTACCAACATCCCAGTGTAGTGACCCCTGCAGAAAAAATGAAGTAAAAAGCATGCAGCCTGGGGACGTGTGCTGCTGGATATGTATCCCCTGCCAGCCATATCAGTACCTTCAAGACGAGTTTACTTGCGCTGACTGCAGCTTTGGAGAGTGGCCTTTGGCTAATCTCACAGGTTGTTATGATCTACCTGAGGAGTACATTCATTGGGAAGATGCCTGGGCCATTGGACCTGTCACCATTTCCTGTCTCGGGATGATGAGTACACTATTTGTCATTGGGCTCTTTCTTAAAAACAACGATACACCTGTGGTAAAGGCCAGTGGACGTGAGCTTACTTACATTCTTCTGCTGGGGGTGCTTATGTGCTACAGCATGACATTCATCTATATAGCCAAGCCTTCCACAGCAGTATGCACGCTGCGCCGATTAGGTTTAGGAACGTCATTTGCAGTATGCTACTCAGCCCTCCTCACCAAGACCAATCGCATTGCTCGGATTTTCAGTGGAGTAAAGGATGGTGCCCAGAGGCCTCGCTTTATCAGCCCAGCATCCCAGGTTGCCATTTGTGGTGGTCTGATCTCCTGCCAGCTGGTTGTGGTGGTGGTCTGGATGTTGGTGGAGGCCCCAGGAGTGAGAAAAGAAGTGAGCCCTGAAAAGAGAGACATAGTGACTCTCAAGTGTAACAGCAAGGACTCCAGCATGCTCGTGTCTCTCACCTACAATTGCATACTCATCATCCTCTGTACAGTCTACGCCTTCAAGACCCGTAAATGCCCTGAAAACTTCAACGAGGCCAAGTTTATTGGGTTTACAATGTACACCACCTGCATCATATGGCTGGCTTTCCAACCCATTTTCTATGTCACTGCCAGCGACTACAGGGTAAGTTAAATTAGGCCACATCTGCATTTGTGTGTTGTCCTTTTTCTAGAAGAGATCACGTTTTTTGCATTGCATGCAGCACATGCTGTGATTAACATTTGAAATAACTTAAAATCTGAGTGCAATTCATCCGTACAGATAATGACTTCTCCTGTGCTGGATATATTATATGCATTGACTTCTGCTTGCTTAAGGCCTTTCTGCTCAGAATTTGTTGATAGGAGATTATGGCGGAGTACAGTATGCTGAACTCAGAAACCTAGAGTGGAGTAAAACTGACAAACATGATACAATAAGCACCAATTTCTCTCATAACAAAACTCCTAATTAAGTGGCTTCAGCTTACCTTCAGGTGTAAAGCACATCTTTTAAATAGCTTAACACACAGAAGGTATAACATTTGTGGAAAAAAAAATTAAAACACAAATACCTAAACTATAAAGAATCTCATTAAAATATGTAAATGCAAATGGAAGTAAATGGAAGATATGTCAAACATTTAAAGAAATCCCCCAAAGCCCCCTAGTGAAACAACCAATTATGCCAGATTAGAGCATCCCCATGACTGATCCATTACAACTATTATGCTGGAAAGAAACCTGCTTAATTATGCCCCTACACATTTAAAGATGACACAATTTAAGCATTAGAAACTCACCTGTATTTTGATTATAATAAAACTATAATTGCTACCTTTTTTGCTTGTTTAAATTTGTTTTAATAAAACTGGCATCAGTAAGCTATAAAGCATGCTAGTAAAAACTAAAATACAGTCCAAAGATGCAACTAATTAGGTGCAGAGAATGTTGATTCTGGAGCTGTAATCCTTGTTGAACAGGCTCTATTTGTTTAATGAGTTACTCCTTGGGATCTGGTATATTATAAGAGGACACCACCAATGTGGTTTCAGAATAATTTTGACATTAAAAATCAGGGAAGTCCCAATTCATATTTTTTCCTCCTACGTATTTACAGTGGGATTGAGTAATTCCTGAACCCATGTTAGAGTTGAAGTAAAAATAACAAATGCTGTACAAAGGTCCTAAATCACAATCAAACTGCCCTTAAAAGTGCTTCCAAGAAGGGCATATATGCAATATGAAGTAATTTACAAATCAGTAAAATGCAATTAATTTAAATCATGAAACATAACAAAAAACATGGCAAATATGATTAAATTCAGTCATTTAAATAAAACAATATTTGAAAATAAAAAACACTTCACAGTTAATCTTAGTATTTCCAAAGTGTGTGTGTTTTATTTTTTTAAATCTGAAATGACTCCACATCTCTGAGTTACTTTACCACAGTGGGTTTTGTTTTTCTTTATCAACAAAAGTCTTTAAAATTTTTAAAAAGACGCACCCTCTCCATTTTGAAAAAAAAAAACAAACAAACATGCGCAATCTGCAGAACCCTGTAACCGCTTCCGAGATGGAACGCCTTTTAAACGCATGCACAACCCATTTCTTCTCGTGCAAAAAAGAAGATTTGCACCTTCTCCACCATGTCAGACTCACCACCGGTAAGTGAAAATGGGCTTAAGCACGTAGGACGGCTTTACGCAAACATATCACCAGATTGATTGACAATTAGGAGGACCACTTATTTTTATGATCCATTGGGAAAAGGAAAACCCTCCACTGTACCTTTAATTTTGGACACTTCAGTGAGTTATAGTCTTCAGCTGAACTTCCAGCAATCTGAGCCAAACTTACCCTCCATATTGTACGTATAGATGGTGGAAAAGAAAACTACTTACAAGTCTTCACTTCTACACAAGACAGTCACTCTGGTCAAAAATATTTAGTTTTCTGCCTATTCAATTTGTGGTGTGTTTTTTTTTTTTTCCTTTAACTGAAAAATCATTAGTTGTCTAGTATTAGACTTCTACCTAATTTCCTACCTCATTCTACTTCTGTTTAAATAATGCATAAAGATTCAAAGATTCACTAAAAGAGTTTGTGTACTCTTGAGTTAGATTACAACATCAGGATTGCTATACGATGGTAATATTCCGCTTTGGTCAGGACCCATATTGGGCTGGTCATAAACCTCAACCTTTAGCACCACCTGATCTTGATTTTTAATGGATGACAGAATCAAGACAGAATCATATTGACTGTTTTTAACCTTTTAGCTGAACCTGACCTAAAATATTCTGACTTGCCCCACTCCAAGAAGGGAATGAGGGAATTGGGTTAAAAAGAAACACTGGAATGTTCTGTGACATCCTACCTAGAATTGCCTCGCTTTAACACTTTTTTGTCATAGTTATCAAAACTCATTGTGCCTTTATCCATAAAGTAATTTTAGTCTGGTTAACAATAGAAAACACAAAAACAGACAATTAGACAATGACATAAATGCATTGCTGAAATTGAGATATTATCTGCTGACACAGATTCAGAAACTGAATTAAAAGAACAACATAAAAGACTGGCCTTAGTTATGAGGGATTATCCCTCTGGGATCTAACCATGACAGAGAAACAGGAGGAGAAATAGGTGGAGAAGTCTCCTGACACAGCTGCCTCTGCAGAAACATAGAAAATTCAGGCAAGACCATGAGGGCTAAATGGGAACTGAACGTCTATGTGTCCCTGTGTGTAGCTGTGTGGAATGGAGTGTGAAAGACTGGGATGCTGAGTCCCAGCTGTGCCCCCTCCATCCTGGGACTTTAGTGATGCTCAGAGGAACCCTTCCTCTGACCCTTTAGGCAACATCATTCACAGCTTGAATGGACTCATTAGAAAGATGCAAAGCTCCCCTTTGACCAATGAATAATTACTGAAGCAACTGAATAACAGAATGCCTTTGGTTTTTACAGGCAGTGACAAATTACCAGTGTTCTCCTAGTTTTACAACACTTATCAGATAGTGGTCACACCCAGGTGCAAATCTTAAATTAGATTTTAATGAACTTGGCAAGCATTAGTAAGCTTATCAAATGCAATCTACAAAGGCTTGAACAGCATATTTGATGATCATATGAAATATTGGAGATGTTATTTGCTTCTTGGGAAACAGGGGTATCTTATTGTGCAAGTGCTTGAAATATATTCAAAAACACTTGTATGTGATCACTATTTAAACTGAAACAAAAGATGGAAGATTATGCATTCACATAATTTGTTTTTAGTTTTCATGTATGTGAATACTCATAACTTTAAATTGTGACTGATTTGTTAAACTTTGAATTTAAGCTTGACTATGTTCCTTAAGAATATCTATTGGAAAACCTTAAGAATGGGGGTGAAGCTCATAGTCAGGGACAAAGTTTTTAGCATTATGTATAGTTGTTTATGCTTTTACATTGTCTCGCTGATTCGAAAATTACGAAGAAATAAATGACATTCCTTCTATCTTACATACTGCTAAATACAACGAGGGCTAGTCCTTTCCAAATTCCAAATGTAATTGATTGATGGGCCTCTGGAATGTTTTCTCCTATAAGCAGCCAGCTCCAAGGTACATTTGAACTGCCACTCAGGCAGATACATTGAAAAGACATGAAAAGTAATCCATTAGTGCTGTGTGGTTTTTTTTAGCTAGTTAAAACCAGAACAAAGAAACTTGTTAGTCTGTTTTCTTGCACCATGTACCTTTTATCAAGTCTAGTTTTTTGTTTATCTGCTAAATTGTATCAAATGTTGTTTTTCCATCAGATTTTTAGTGCTTTTCTGCTTCATATGCAATTGATTTAGAAATGATCCAAAGGGGGGAACCATCTAATAAATCAAAAGTTTAGGCCAAATAAGCAAACCGGTTACACAGATTGACAAAAAAATAAAAAATAAAAAAAATAAAAAAATCAGCGTTAATAGTTTCCCTACCTTCTTAGCTGAGGGACAAGAGTGTAGGAGCTGCACCCTCTGAGGTCCAAAGATTAGAGAGACACAAAACAACACATGATCAGTTTCTCTTCCAAGTTGATGGATCAGTAGCAGTTCACCTTGACACAATTTTTCCTTCGTCCTCTCACAAATCTTCCCTTTTAATATTAATTGAAAGTAAGCAATGAACCTATATTTAAAGTTAGAAGAGATGACTTAAACCTTTGACTTAAAGGTTGAGCATTCAATCATCTTAAATAATAATCTGATTTTCAATTTTAACTTAACATATCCTTTTAAGTTGTTATACTAGTTGTTCTTTTTTTCTATCAGTTGTAAGGTAAATAATTCTTATCATAACTATTGATTCTTGTAAATAAATTGACTGCAAATATATTAAGTAAAAAACTCTATCATTCATTCTTTGGTTAAAATAAGCAACGAGACAGCTCTCCAATAAGAATAATTCAGATTTAATTCATAAAAGATAATAACACTGATCATCTCTTTTAGAGAGTGATAAAGTGTTGTGGAAGTAAAACGATTTAAAGTTGCATGAATTCTACCACATTCTGCAATCTATATCAACTTTAACGAATGACTTAAATCACAGGAGAATCTTAAACTGAGTTTGTGAATCTTTAAATACATCAGATATGAATGAATCAACAGTGATATATTTTTTCATTAAAATGGATATCTTAAAAAACTGGCTGTGTAAAAAAACAACAACAACAAAACAGCAGCCAAACAAAAACAAAACAGGCAAATCAGTAGTTGAAGGTATTTTGTGCACCTCGTTCTGCTCACCATCTCACCAAATGTGTGAAGACAAGCCAAGTTTGTGGCTGCTGCTCTTCCAAAGAAATGTTTAATGAATTATTGAAACCACTTAACAGTTCATTCATGTGCAGGACTGTCTACGACTTTACAAAAAGCTACTCTAAATTAGAATTTAGAGCATATTGCATGTCTTTATGTGCACATCATCCTTTGTGCTTTATCTCTTAGTCTCAGCCAAACAAATTAAGAGGTTTAATCCAAGCTTTAACATGGATATGCAGTATAATGTATTTTATATAATGCATTTTATATGTTTATTAGTTTACACTAGACTCTACGACACATTTTAACTTTTAATAAAAGATTCATTTACAAAGTGATCTCAGGTCTTTTTTTTAAATTCTCCTATTTAATATGCATTCAATTAAGGTCATAACTACTATAATTGAAAAAAAGACATTCAATG